GGTCAATCTTGTAGTGACTATGAGATCATAGCAGACAATGCCTCTAGTCACCAAGGCCAAATGAAGCCCACCAGCGAGCTGGGGCAGACAGGCCACTGAGGCCTGGGAGATCAGCTCCAATCAGAGAGGCCTCTTAACAGAGAAGCCATAGCTGGGAGTCACTTAAACTGACTTCGGTCACAACCACTGGTGCGCTCACATAGCCACTTCTGGGCCAAACTCCTATCAAACTTTTATGAAGATGGGCACAGGCAGGTACACGTGTGGGCTGTGCTCTACCTAGGGCAGCACCAATGGTGAAACAGGAAAGGCCCAGCCCCGTGTGACTCTGGCCAGGGGACGTTCTCCAGCTGGCATGCAGCACATCCATGAGGCAGTGGCTGTGCTGGACAAAACGGATGGTGAAAAGGTAACCTGGGCACCCAGAAAAATCCTGGGGCTAAGCGTGGGTCAGCAGGGCCCCAACAAGGCACTGCTGGTATCGGGGCTGGGAGGTCAGTGTCGGGCCCACCTCTGAGAGCCATCAGTGGTGCCGTTTTGGCTATTTCCCTTCACCACCTAATCTACCTGCTCATCTGTCAGACAGATGGCAGGAATGAGGCCTACTGAGGGCTTTTATTAAAGGGGGTTCTTACTAAAGGGGGTGAGTGAGAGAAAAGGCTGAGAGCGTCGCCCACGAGTGGTTGCTCTTTGTCTCCCACTCAGGCACAGATCCTGAGCAAGGGCCTGAAGCCCCACCTCAGTGTAGGACTGGGGTAACACTCTGGCCATGAGAAGGACAGACTGCCCTCAGTTCCTGGAGGGGAAGGTCTCATTCTGCCCAGAGCGGATCCCAATATCTCTAAGGATGTCAACAAGAGAGAGCAGGGGGCGGATGAAGACCAGATGGACGGACCCAGTGCAGGAGGGTTGTGGTCAGTGACACACATGTTCCCCTCCTGGACAAGTGCAGAAGTCACCTGGGGCCTGGAGCCCAGGAGGCCTAAGAGGCTGGGCAGGACTGGGCACATGTGAGTGGGTGGAGCTCTGCTAAAGCTGTGTTCGCTCTCTAGAGAATAAGGTTAGCTAGGGTGCCCATCTCCGGGATG